CCTCCACAGGGGAAATGAGAATGCATGGGCCACTTATTTGCTGTCACTGTCAGGTGTCACCTTAGAAGGTACAGGAATGACCCTGAAAAGGTGGGATAAAACCCAGACATGTTTAAGGGGGAGGAGCAATAATTGCAGCAAAATGGGGTATCAGCTGATAGGGCTGCTGTAAGATAGAGGGGTGCCTGGGGCAGATCCCTGGGGAGTGGTGCCAAGAGGAGCGGATGGGTTCCAAGCAGAGGCGTGTGAGAGGTAGTGGTGGGTTTTCTGCCCAAGGCAGACGTCAGAGTTTTGCAGAGTCCTAGCTAGCTAGAGCTATCTTGTCTGTCTTAGGCTGGGAGTTTGGAGGGGTGTGGGTAAGGTTCACTCTAGCCACTTCCACTAGCGCAGAGGGGGACTTGTCTCTCCCCGCTCAGGCACCAGTGGACGGCAGCTGGCAGCCTGTCAGGCATGGGGTGGGCCATCTCAAGACCTGAGAGCCAGATGTTGTTTGCTGCTGATGCCATGGCAACCTGCCTCAGGTGCCCTGGGCAGTCTCCCCAGCTCCTAAGTGGGAACTGCCTGGCCATGGCATCTAGGCTGGACTTACCTGCTTCAGGACAGGTTCCTGTCGGCATCTGGAGCCAGGCAGTTTGGGATTTGTGAAATGCATTATTGATATGGTAATGTAGTTTCTGAAAACAAAATCAGTCTGATGTGAATGAGTATGGGGACAACAGGATGGAATATTTGAAACTGGGCCATCTTGGAAAATCCAGGCCATCCCCCATCCTGTGATTGGTGAGCTAGTCACCATGCGGGGACCCGAGGCTGGCTAGGCTGCAGACTCCACAGGGGTTGGCTAAGACACTCCAAGTGAAACTGCCCCCTGGCCTCTCCAGAAGATCCTGATTTCCCATTGCCTTATTTTGGGCCGAATGAAGACCATAGCCAGTGCTTGTCTACTCAGTGTGGCATTTGGAAACATTGCCCAGCAACCTGGCTTTGTGGGAATCTGCTTGGCTGACTTTCTGGAGAATCACTCTGCCCTGTCGCTCAGGTATAATGTCATTTGGTCTCTCGATTCCCAGACCCCAGCTGAAGCCAGACTGCTAAAGACTCAACTGGCTCCAGTCTGACAAGCCCTTAGGGGATGACACATTTCTTCTTGCCCTCTGATGTTTTTGTGCTCATAAAAAGACAAACACCTCTCCCATTCCTTTACACACACACACACACACACACACGCACACGCACACGCACACGCACACACACACACACTGTGCTCATAAAAAGACAAACACCTCTCCCATTCCTTTACACACACACACACACACACACACATGCACACGCACACGCACACACACACACACAGAGAGAGAGAGAGAGAGAGAGAGAGAGAAACTAAACCATATAAAGCCGGAGAAACTTTTTTCCTGATTATTTTTCCTTTTCCAGACAGGGACATCGATATATTTGAATCATGGGCTGACAGTAATTAAAAAGCACATAACTAGTCATTTTAAAATGCACTTGTTTTACTTAATTGATTTTGCCGCCAGATCCAGAGGGAAGAAAAAGGAACAGGGAGAAAGAAAGCCTTAGAAAGGGAGACAAGTTCCTGTGAGTGACTGGAGGCAGCTGAGGGCCCTGCTTGAGTCTAATTGCTGCAAATGCTGCAGTTTGTTTCTGCTAATGGTTTTCTGCTGAAAGGGCTGGGGGATGAGGCCTGATTAGAGGGGGTTGGCGTTTGTTTCAGCTGCATGGGGGGTATAATTCTGTTCGTGGGACGGGGTCTTTTTTTCCTTACTATCTATCAGCATAAAGTACTTCCACTGAACACTTCGAATCAAGGTTCCATTTAGAGATACTTTATTCATATTTAATTACAGGCTGCAGCACCAATCTTTAATTACCTTTTTTATAAGCCAGCTAGGAACATCCACTAGCAATCAATTATTGCGTATGTATATGTGTGTGTGCCCGCACAAGCACAGGAGGGTGTGGGCGTGCGGCTTGCTTCCTGATGCAGAGGGAAAGCAGGGCTGTGGCACTGGGGTGGGGGGATTGGTGGGGGGGTCTGCTTGACAGGCTCCCTGGACCGAGTGAGTAGTGCGTCTTTGCTTCCCATGCCTCTCTCTGCTTTCACTGGTAAAATTGTCAATTTGGGCAAGTCCATACAGCTGGGCCTTGTTTAGGGTGCTGAGGTGGCAGCTGGGCTTGGGTGGTATCTTGGGGCCCCCTCGATCCCCTGGTGGGGGCAGGGAATTGTGGGAAGCCCCTTCCTGTCCCCTGGGGACATGGCTTCCTCTGGCCCTGGAGATGAGGATGTGCTTGCCTCTGCCTTTCCCTTCCCCCACCTCTCCGTGGGGTGCTCTGGCAGCTGTTGTTTCTTGCCTCACAGCCCTAGCGATGCCATGTCACTCTTCAGTTGCCATGACTCTGCAGTGCTCCTGCAGTGACACCGGTGTGAAGACTGGTTGTCCTTTGTAGAAACAGCAGAAATTCCTGGGAGCCAGGTAGAGGCTTGGGGTACGGAGCGAGGTCAGATGACCCCCAGGTCCCTTTGCAGCAGGAAGATTGGGCCATTCTAGCTGCCTGGGAGATGAGGGTCTGAGTTCACAGCTCTCTTCAGGAAACGTTCTCCTTCAGGAACTACCAGAGGGTTTCTGAAGGGGTTTGGTGTTGATCTCATTATGTAATGGCCGCGAGCAATGCTGAAGCTCCACCTTCCCTTCTTTTCCTGGACCCTGTCCCAGCAAGAGGGCAGGGAGGAGATGGAACTCACACTTACTGAGTGCCTTGGGGGGGGTGCTGGGCACCAGGCCCATGTTTCTTTCATTTATCCCAGCTGGGGCTTGAGAACACACTTTATCTGTCAGAGCCCCTTCAGTTGTGTGTGACAGAAAACTTAAACTGACATAAGCAAAAAAAGGAATTACAGGGTGGGTAGTCAGGCATGGCTAGATCAAGGGCCCAAACCTGCCCAGGATTCACTCCCTCTGTCTCTTGGCTCTGCTTTCTTCTTTGTTGCTACTCTGTGACCCTTGGTGGCTCCAGGCTTACATTTTTATGTTCAAATTCAACAGAAAGAAACTCTTCTCCTATAGTTGAAACAAAAGCAAAACAGTTGAGGCTGGTAGGGCCAGTTGGGTCACGTGTCCACTTCTGAGCCAATCAGCGTGGCCAGGGTACTCAGGGTTCTGGTTGGCTGGGCTGGGGTCTACACCCACCCTGGAGTAACAGGTGGAGTCTGCCTAGGTGAATCCCATGCATGATGTGTGGTTTTGCTGTTTTGCAAAGTTACACATTTGAGGTCTTTGGATTAGTAGGAGTGTGGGGGCAGCAAAGTCTAGCCACTTCAAAGGGAAGAAAGAGTTGATTCAGTTCTTCTGCAATGGAAAGAATAGCTGATTTAGTCATTCAACAATTCTTATATCTGGCACTGACTAGTTCCAGCCCTGTTCTAGGTGCAGGGGATTCAGCAGTGAACAGAACAGACAAACATCCCTGCCTGCTGGGAGCTGATGTTCCACTGGGGTTTATAGGGGTGATGGTCCTAGTGGTCTCCCATCCCAAGCCCAAGTCCAGGATAAAGGGTTCCTGTGCTGAGAGACTCAGGGTGATTGGGGTGGGTGATGTGGGAAGAATCTAGTCTTTAGGGAGCCTAGAACTCACCAAGGAGGGGAAAAGACAAGTGGGTTGTTGGGGAGGCAGGGAGTACTAGGCACTGGGAGGGGTACAAATGAAGATTTCATGAGGAGGAAGGGGACAGGGAAGCCGATCCCATGCTCATCTCTTGTGACAGAGAAGTGTAGTCCCCTCCCCATGTTGTCTGGGCCTTTGGCCTCTGCAGAATGTTGATAAATGGGATGGAGTTTAGTGAAAGCCACAAAAATGATGACAGGACTGGAGAGAGTGATTTATGAGACCAGATTAGCAAAATGATGGTGCAGCCCAGCAAACGGGGGGATGGGATGGTGGCTGTGGGTCTTGTGACTTCCAAAGTCCTAGTAGAGAAAAGGGGTTGAAGGGCAGGACAGAGTGGGAGGAAGGGGGCACAGACTGAGTAGGCCTCAAAGCATGAGAGCCTGGGAGGGTGGGGAGGGAGGGGACTAATCAGGTCCATACACATTTGTGCGTGTGTCTGTGTGAATTACTGGACTTTCCAGAATTGTGAGACCAAGCAGGGGCTTAAAGAATGGAGAAGATTAGGATTTCAGCCTTGGCCAATCTAGAGAAAGGCATTTGGAGGCCTTCCCATCAGGTAGAATATTCATATCTGGACCATGTAGGTATGACTACTCAAGCCAGAAAAAAGTTTTCCTTTGGGAAAATTGGTATGGAATTTCTGAGAGGGAAGGAGGGAAGGAAGACGGGAGGAGAAGATGGAAGAGTCAAGAGAATATTTTTTCACTTTGTAGAGAGCAAAAGTGAGGCCCAGAAGGGCCAGGGATTTGTCTAAGGCTACCTTTGGGTAGCACTGGAGATGAGGACCTGGGATCTCTGCCAGGGTGGCTGGGCCAGGAGTGGGTTCAGGGACCCATGATGAAGCTCCTGCTCAGCAGGAATAAGAGGTGGTTGTTGGGTTTGGAGTCTCTGGACCAGGGGTCTTTGGGCTCACTCAGTTGGTGGAAGTGAAACAGCTTCCATGCGATCCCTCTCTTGGGCTGCCCTGGGCCCACGTTCTGTTAACTTTTGCTTATGCACACGTGAGGCCCAGGAGGCACAGCGGTGGGTAATTGAATGGGTAGATGATGCACAGTTGTGAACGTTCTAGACAGCACTTCCTCGGCCTTTGATGGAGGTGCTTAGGGCACCGTGCACATGTATGAGGACACACCCTCCACATGCCTGGTGTGAATCCACGGCAGCAGGGGGCCCAGGCAAGGCTCTTCGTTGGCACACAACTGATGAAGCAGAGAACTGTTGAGGGGGCATTGGGCAGCCCTGGCTCTGGGCCCCTCTCACGGAATTGGATCATGTTCTCAATTGCTCTGTCTTCTCTCCACTCCCGACAGATCCATGATTTGTTCATGAGCTTTGATGACACCCCTCTGGGGGCGGCCTCCCTGGCCCAGGTCCACAAGGCAGTGCTGCGCGACGGGCGGATGGTGGCTGTGAAGGTCCAGCACCCAAAGGTGCAGGCTCAGAGCTCAAAGGACATTCTCCTGATGGAGGTGAGATCTTCCCCTTCTCCTTGCTTCATCCTCAGCCTACATTTCCCTGGGGTCCAAGCAGCCTCAGTGAAACTGGTTCAGGCTAGTGGGAGGAGCATCATCCTCTGAGCAGTGAGTGGGAGAGGAGAGACCATGATACAGGCAACATTGTGACAATCCTGCAACCACAGGACCCCATGGTGGGGCTGGTCAGTGCTTCTTGTTTTGTGCCTGGCAATTGCCTGTGATGGTCTTAGAACATGCAGAGCAGCTGCTGGGGCCAAGGGGACCTCGGGGGATGTTGTAGAAGTGACATGAACCAAAGGTGATTTCCATGGCAGCAGAAAAATTTACATTGTTGTTTGTTAATTTATAACAGAAGGGACCATGGTCAACCAAAGCATATGAAAATGACATACAGATCATGGCAAGTTTGCTTATCTCATATTTGTTTTCAATGAATGAACTCACCTGCCTGAAGATGGCCCTGGGAAAAGCCCCAGTGGAGACTGTGCTACTCACTTTTCTCACTCCATACCCAGAGCAAGGGAGAAAGAGGGTGAGCCGGCCACTGCATGGGGCGGCAGCCAGAGCCCCCCACAGGGAGGTCAGCAATCTGTTTAACCTGCCAGCATGTCCCTCTTCTTCCTTTTCTCTTTCCCTTTCCTTTGTTCCCTTTTCTCACTGGACTCTTAGTTTATTCCTTCAACTCACCTTAACTATACTTAATGCAAATATTGAGGGTCCCTTCTGCACCGTGCATGAGGTGGGCGCTGGGGACATGACAGTGAGTAGCTCTGTCTTCATCCTTGGGGAGCTCCTGTTTAGTGGGGGAGACAGGTATGTAAACAGATAGCCACAGTGTGGGGACATGAGCTCTGTCTAAGGGATGTTTGCAAAGTGCCCTGGAGCACTGTGCCTGGATGGATGGGGGTGTCAAGGGGGCTTCACCAAGGAGATGATGTTTGAGTGGGCTTAGAGTAACAGGGTGTGCTTAGAGAACTTCAGTTAGTTCAGACGGTCTGAGCTAGGAGTGGTTGGAGATGGGGCTGGGGAGGTAGGCGGGACAGACATGGAGGCCCTTGTATTCCAGGCTGAGGCGGAGAATGGTATACACAGTCAACACTCGATGCGTATCTGTGGATCTGATTTTCTCCTGTAGTCAGTGGGGAACCATTTAAGAATTTTAATCAGGGGACTGTCATGATCAGATGTGCATTAGAAACAAAAATCTTGGCAGTGTGGAGGATGTATCGGAAGGCAGAAAGACTGTAGCCAGGAGACTAATTGAGGGGCTGCTGCATTGGTCTGGGAGAGAAATAATGATGTGAAGCAAGACAGTGTAGTGGGAGTGGAGGAGAGGGACGACTTCCAGGAGTAGAATTGGCAGGACTTTGTGACCATCTTTACATGGGGAAGGGCAAGGACTGGTACGAATGAGGAGATGGAAGCATCTTAGGTTTCTGGTTTAAATGATTAAGTTCAGTGCCTTTGACCATATATATCAGTCAAGGTTCAGTTGGGAAAAAAGAAATTGCTCTAGGTATTTGAAACAGAGAAAATTTAAGATAGAAAATGGGGTTTACAAGGGATGGAATTGCTGAGAAGCCAAATGGGATGGTGAGATGGTCACCAACAGCAGAAGCCACTGCCGCCCTCAAGAGGGAGGGACAGAGAAGAGGTGGTTCTCTGCAGCCCAGGAGCTGGGGCCACCTGGTGGAAGCTGGAACTGTGGTGAGCTGGTCCATCAGGAGCTGGATCACAGCCGTAGGACTTGAGAGTTGGAGCCACAGCTGCTGCTGAGGCAGAGGGTTTTCCAGCTGCTCCTGTCTTCCAGTATTCCACCAGTATTGCCCATTGGCCAAGCCTTGCTGGGAGCAACTTGGCAAGGGAGCCTGGGAAATGTATGTTCTCCTGACAGTAAGGGGACTGGATGGATCTCAGAGCAGAGTGAAATGGGCGATGGAGCAACCGCATTGGGGAAATATTGCTGTTGGAAGTTTAGGATAAGGATATCCCCGTTGGTCTGGAGTTCAGGTTGGAATATAGATTCAGGACTATGAGCAAGGACACTCATGGTAGCTGAATCTGGGGGAGTAGTTGAGGTCACTTAGAGAAAGTTTGTTGAGTAAGATAAAAAGAGAGGGGAGGGCAAGGGAAGAACTGTGAGGAACGTCATCATCTGGGGAGTGAGCCCAAGAGGATAAGTCCACGAAGGGGATGAGGGACGCGTGATGAGAGAGACTGGAGAACTAGGGTTGAGCAAAGCTGCTACATCCAAAGCAAAAAATCTCAAGAAGAGAGCACCGTGTCAGTTGTCTAATGCTGCATAAAGAACCACCTCAAAACTTAGTGGCTTAAACGAGTCATGTGTTTTGCTCATGAATCTGCAGTTCAGCCAGCGCTTGGGAGAGACACTCACTTGTTTCATTCAGCACTAGTGGGGGTGGCTTGACTAAGCACTGGAGGACCCACTGCTGAGGTGGCTCACTCATGTGGCTAGCAAGTGGCTGCTGGCTGTTGTCTGGGAGCTCGGTTGGGGCTGTGGGCCAGGGCATTCGTTCCTCTCTATGTAGGCCTCTACCTGGCTCTCTGGGCTTCCTCACAGCATGGTGGCTTAGTTCTGAGAGTGAGTGTCCCAAAAGAATAAGGCTAAAAGTGCATCACAGTTTTATGACCTAGCCTTGCAAGTCCTATAGCATTACTTCTTCCTTACTCTATAGATTGAAGTGGTCACAAAGACCCCCTTAGTTTGGGGGTGGGGAAATAGACTGTACCTCTTAATGGGGGAGTGGCAAAGTTCTAGAAGCATATTAGAATGGGAGATATTGTTGCAGCCATTTTGGAAAATATAGTCTTCTGGAATTAATCAACGTTGTCAAATGGGAGATATTAGTAAAGCACTGAAAAGGGTATTTTGGATTTGGTGATTGAAAGTTGTTAGGAAAAGCATCTACTGTGGCGTGAGTGGGGTGAAAGAGATTTGGGACCCGGTGAAGTGGAGACAATGTAGAATATACTCTTTTCAAATGTTTAGCCGGGGACTGCTGGGGAGAGTTAGGGTAGTGGTTAGAGCAGAGAGATTTGGGCAGGCTTGTAGCTGATGGGAAGGGAGGTAGGGAATTGGAAGTTCATCAGAAAGAAGTAATTGCTAGATCAAATCCAGAAAGAGATTCCAGAGATTGGACACCAAGAACATAGGTGGAAGCATTAGCTTTTGATTGGTCTTTGTTTTGAGACCAGAAGGAGGCCGTAAGGCTGGGTACAGATGAGTGTGTGGGGCAGAGGGGACAGGGGGAGGGAAAGTGGGCAGTGGAGTGTGTTCCAGCCTGATAGCCTCTATTTTTTCTCTGCAGTAGGAGGCAAGACCATCTGCCGAGAATGAGGGGGTGGGAGGTGGCATTTGAGCCTCAAGGGGAGTGAAGGTTTGGAAGAGCTGCTGTATGCCAGGGCAAAGAGAGCTGGCCAGGACAAGGGAGCAGAGATGCTGAGTGGCACTGGGCATCCGCCTGGAAACCTGATTTTTCTGGAGCATCCATTGGTGGCTATGAAAAGGCCATAGATAGGAGTGAACTGTGAGTCTCAGAGGATCCCTAGATTTCCTGGTCCCCAGCATCTGCTCCTGAGTCAGGCAGGACCCTGCCTCTGCCTGGCTGTGCCATCAGGGCCTCCTTGGGCTGGGAGGATGGCTGTCCCCTTTTCTCTGTTCAGCCTCACTAGCTCCTTAAGTAATGGTGGCTGTGAGGTCAATAGCAATAATAGCAGTAATAAAGATTTGGTATCTTCTTTCCTGAGATAAGGATCAGATGCTTTTCTTGGGAAGCACAGTCTGGCAGGCCATGTGCAGAGTACAGAATGGCTCCTTGGCAGTGGCTGAGGCAGTGCTGGGGCTGGGATCATGGACAGACCAGAGACCCACGCTTACAACCATCAGGGGAGCAGCTGGACAGGAGGTCTGAGGCCACGACTGCCAGGGACCCATCAGCATTAGCAACAGCACCGGTGGCACTGCCTTCTCACTGGGCATGGACTCTGGTGGATAACCTATCTGGGTTACCTTCTCTATTATAAAACCAAGAAGAACCCAACTGGAAAGCTCATTTCAATTGATATTTGAAATAATTATTATTTTTTCTGACTACAGACCTAAATGGTGTCTTGGTTTTAGGAACAACAACCGCAGAAAGGTGCTCAGGCATGCTTGGCAGGAGAAGAATGATTTCTAGAGGACGTTAGGGCTCCCTTAGCCACCAGAAACAGGGACAGTGGGGAGACAGCTGCTCTTCTGCATAGCCTTCTGGGCTTCCTTTCATGCTAATTCCAGGTGTTGTGTGCCCTCATGCTTCTCACACTATTGCACCTCCCTCCCCTCCAGCCCTGTGATTGAGCACAGCCTGGTCTTGAGAGGAAGGCAATTTGATTAAAGTAATTCACACTAAAGAGAGAGTGACTGATAGACTTAACCTCTGGATATTTGCAATTTAAGAGGCAAGCTTGTAAATTGAAACACTTATCTGCTGTAAGGCAGAGAGGGATAGAGGTCTATGGGAGTGAAACTTTGGAGAGTGAAGAGGTGGGGACTACTGGTTGTATCAGTTAGGATGCTTTTGGCCGTAAGAATCAGAAAATCCTAAAGTGGTATAGATAGTAGTAACTCATATTATCTCACATGTGAAGATACCACACCTCATTGTAGTTTGTAAGCCCAGGTTTTTTCTAGCTTTACTCTGCCATCTCAGCTTCCTGGATTGTCCTCTAAAGCTAGTGCCCCTCATGGGCCCAAAACAGCTGCAGCAGTTCCTGGTGTTACAAGTAGGTGACATCTGGATGCCTAAGAGGGAGTTTTTCCCCCTCCTATTTCTTATCAAAAAGGAGTTCCTGCCTGGCTAGTTAGCTAAGTTGGTTAGAATGCAGCCTTATAACACCAAAGCCATGGGCTTGGATCGCTGTACCAGCCAGTTGCCCGCCCTGCCCCCTCCCCAAATTATTTAAGAAAAAAAAAAAAAAAAGAGTCCCCTAGT